TGCAGGACAGCTACCCCATGACCCCCTCGCAGCAGCTCCCTCCGGCTGCCCTGCGGCAGAGGAGCTCCAGCTTCACCTTCAACTCCAAGTGCTCCACCATGGGGGCTGCCACCAACACCTACTGTGGGACCATCTACAGCCAGCCGGCCATGAGCCTCATGCGCCGCTTGCCCATGCAGACCATCCAGGAGAACAAGCAGGCCACCTTCTCTCCCGTCAGCTCCTACAGGAACGCCTCGCTGCAGGACCTGCTCTCCTCCATCTCCTACGCGCACAAGGAGAGCATGGTCCCGGGGGACCTGCCCCTGCCCCAGGCCAGCCCCATGGTGCCGGCCCGTGGCCACAGACACAACCCGCTGCTGTGCGGGAGCGGGGAGCAGGGTTTGTCCTCCTACCCGTCCCACTCGGGCTCTCTGATGAAGAGCAACACGTTGTACCACCCGTCACCAGCCGGCCACCACCCTGGGGTCAACACCAGTGCCTTAGCTAATCCTGTCAGCCTTATGAGCTTGCCCAGTGACACGTGCAGCATGGCAGCCGTGCCGCACCACGGGCACCTGCATTCCTACGCTAATAACCAAGGGGCACACATGAGCTTGCTGGATTCGCTGCAGGGCCCCTACCCGGGGGCCGTCCACCCCCCTGTGTTGGGCCAAGACAGGTTCCCAGCAGACCTGGACCTGGACATGTTCAACGGGAGCCTGGAGTGCGACGTGGAGTCCATCATCCTGAATGACTTTATGGACAGTGACGAGATGGACTTCAACTTCGACTCGGCCCTCCCGCCGCAGAACGGGCTCAACGTGCCCACCCTGCCTGGGGGGCCGCAGCCCACGAACCAGAGCTGGGTGCCCGGGTGATGCCCACCCCGGGCCGGGGGGGCTCGCCCCTGAGAAGCCACGAGGGGAACATTGAAACTAACTTTTTGGGTTTTGTTGTTGTTTTTTTTCCTTTCTCTTCTGCCTTTTTTTTTTTTTTTTTTTTGGTTAAGATGGGCTCGGCCGGAGCTTGAGGGCGAACGTGAGACACAGACCGCAGGGTCAGGTATTGCCAGGGGCCGGGTCCCCAGTACCCACACGTGCCCGATCTGCTGGTCCTCCTGTGAGCGTCCTCTGAGGATGCAGGGCAGGCAGGCTGGAGAGGCAGCTGAAGCCAGGCGGGTCCAGAGGGGGAGCAGGAAGGGAAAGCCTTTCCAGATGGTCCCAGCGCCCTGCTGTGATGGTGCTGGTGTGATGGAGCTGGTGGCGTGGGAACCCCCTGCACGGGCATCTTCCTTGGAAAGGGGCACTTTTCTTTCAGCCACCTTGAGTGCTCTGAGTAGGTGTCAGGAGCGGGGACCCTGCCCAAAGCCAAGGGGGAGGCTCATCACCCCAAAATCCTAGTGGAGATCTGAGCTCTGCCAAGCCCATGAACCCCGACCACCTTCGCTGCGGGTCCCTTGGGCGGCTCCAGGCAGGTTTTCTCACCGAGCAGCGAGGAGAGGGGTTGGTGATGGAGGGAAGGGTGGCAATCAGCAACCCTGGAGACAGCACCTCAGCAGTCCCCGTGCCCACCGGTGGCTGGGGGTGCCATGGTCATGTCTGCCCATGGGAAAGCTGAAGAGTCCTGTCTGAAGCAGGAGTGGGCACAGCCCTGCCCAGGGTGGTCCTGCTGGAAGGACCTGCTGCTGGCCTGGGTCCTCTATGCTGGGGGCTCAGGGGGAGATCACAGGGGCGGGGAGGGGGGATGTATTTATTAGATTTCTTGCACTCTTGCCATTGAGTTTTTTGCATTGGAAGGAAGAAAGAGTCGAACTTAGGGAAAGGAGAGAGGGTGTGGGCAGCTCTGACTGTGCCCCAGCGTATGTCTCATCCTGGCTTGGCCATGGCTTTGGGTGTGGGATGATGGGGTGGAAGCTGGGGGCTGCGTTTTGGGTCACCCTTGAGGAGGAGCTGTGTGGGTTTGAGGAGGGGGGGAATGCAGTGGCCATGCCACCAAGGCACTGTAGGGTCTATCCTGCCCTAAGCCTGGGTGACCCACACTGCTCCCCCCTTGTGCTTCCAGGGCTCAGGGAGGTGCCACAGGGCTCACAGCTGAGGTGTGGGGCTCTGAGCAGGTCATTGCTGGTTTCAGGAGTGATTCCAGCCAGCAGCCATACCTGTCCTGGAGGTCTGGCTGCCCATCCCTGAGATGCCAGGAGAGCTGGTCCGGGGAACAGTCAGCAAGAGGAGTCTGCCCATCTGCCAAGAGCTCCCTGGGGATGGGGACCACGAGTGACATATGGGGCAGTGGTGGCACAGCAGTACCAGGGCTTCTGGGGCAGCAGGGTTTGTGGAGTGGGGCAGCTGGAGTAGCTGGTCTAGAGGAGATGGAGGGGCTGTGGAACTGCTGCTTTGTCCTGTGGGGCACAGCCCATCTTCCTCCTGGGCACCACAGGCTGTCTCTAAACCCCTTCCCCCCGGGATGCAGTGAGGGTTTAGTCCACTGAACCAGCACGTTTTCCCAGCCCAGTGCTTCCCTTTTCTCTCCACCTACTCTACCAGGTTCCAGGCACTGGGTCCCATTGAGCTGTGGGGCAGTGACCCGTGGGGGGCACCTCCTGCTCCTCTCCTGACCCACAGATCTGTGGCAAAGTGTGACAGAGGAGCCCCATGTGCCACCATTCACCTTTGCCCTGGGCACAGGGCGGGCATAGTCTCTAAAGACATTCTTACAGGTTAATTAATTATGTTTACATTATTTGATCATGTACAGAATTTAATATATTCTATTATATATAACCTTTCTTGAATGCTTTTTTAAGAAGGATTATTCTTTGGTCAGGATCATCACTGCATTCATTTTATGCACCACCTCTCGTTTCAGGCATATTTAAGATCATTGGAAACTGTTTGCAAATTGGCTAATTAATACCTGGCACCCCAGCTCTGTGCATGAGGTGTTGGAGGGCTGAGGAGAGCCGGGGGTGGGGGGGGGTGTGCAGAAAAAAG